TTCCCAGACTAATATCCTGATAAGAATGAAATTATCCATTCCATTTTTAGAAGTCTCCAGATTTTACTGCATGGTTCTCAGCTTGGACAATATTTGTCGTTGTTGTTGTTTAGTTATTAAGTTGTGTCCAGCTCTTCATGACCCCATGGACCAGAGCATGCCAGGCCCTCCTGTCTTCCATGGCCTCCCAGAGTTGTATCAAATTCTTGTTGGTAGCTTCGGTGACTCTCTCTCTCTCTCTCTCTAGGAAACAGTTCTGGTAATTGTTGTTGTTTAGTCGTTAAGTCATGTCTGACTCTTCGTGACCCCACGGACCAGAGCATGCCAGGCCCTCCTGTCTTCCGCTGCCCTCCCCGGAGTTGTATCAAATTCTTGTTGGTAGCTTCGGTGACACTGTCCAACCATCTCATCCTCTGTCGTCCCCTTCTCCTCTTCCCTTCACACTTTCCCAACATCAGACCCTTTTCTAGGGAGTCTTCTCATGAGATGGCCAAAATACTGAAGGATCTGTTTTTCCAGTGAGCACTCAGGGTTGATTTCCTTCAGAATGGATAAATCTGATCTCCTTGCAGTCCAGGGGACTCTCAAGAGTCTCCTCCAGCATCACAGTTCAAAAGCATTGATTCTTCGTGGTCAGCCTTCTTTATGGTCCAGCTCTCACTTCCATACCACAGGAAAATATACCACAGTGCATATATATATAACTGCATTTGAAGGCAAAAAGCATATGTAAATATTTATTTGAGGGACAAAATGTGTTGAAATATATGTGAAGAGTTTACAAGCAGGTTTTTGTGCAGTTTTTAATAATGGCAACTTGATGCTCAAGCAGGATAAAAGAAGTTTATAGACCAGTCCTTGTGAAATTTACAGGAAATAGAGTGATTTATAATTTCAGATCCCATTATTTCTATCACTGATAAGGAATATTTCTAGATATTAACTGCACTGTGTTGCTGCCAATCATATGTTCTACTTGGCTAAAGAGATCAGTGGTCTTATTTTAGTGTTCTTTAGGAATTGGTGCCTGAATTTTTTTGCGTTTTTTGTTCTCCCTCCCCTTCTTTTTGTTTTACCTCTCTTTAGATTGTAATTCTTTCTGGAGAATTCCAGTGTGATACAGTGTTTAGCGTATTTGGCAGATCCAGTTTCTGGGCTCCCCCGAACCATGAGATTTATTAGATAACTGCAAACCAGTCACAAACACATGAAATGAGAGCTTGCAAATGCCCCTTCAATCCCAAAGCTTCCTGCTAAATAATTGAGAGACATCTCCTAGTCCTCTTTCTCCAACTGCTTTTATGGTTTTCACCACACAGGAATAGGGGAGGAAAAGTTTCCTTCCTTCCTTCCTTCCTTCCTTCCTTCCTTCCTTCCTTCCTTCCTTCCCCTTAAAATTTTTGCATGGTATTCATGGATGATACACCTTACCCTATCACTTAAAATGATAGAGTCAATATAACCTGTTCAGAATCATCTTACTCTCCTGCTGCTGAAGGTATCAAGCCAACCATAAGAAGTGCACACTCTATCTTTTCCAATAAGAAAAACATTTTCAAAAAAGCTTTTAAGAAAAAGTAAAGGTCAAATTACAAAGACTGTGACAGGGTCATTTCTGAAAGCCCAGTTTCACAACATGGCCGTCAGAAGTGTCAGAGTGACTTAGCTGCAGGTGGTCTTTTAATGTGACCCTGGTCTTCAGCCATAAGAGAATGTACCGAAAGCATAACTACACGTGTGATTGAATAAAATAGCAGAAAAACACGAGGCTGGGCCATCAAATGTAGTACTGAATCTGGAAGTATTTTATATTAAAAAAGGACTGCTTTTTCTCCTCAGAAATTTCTTCTCTTCCCTCCACCACAGCCCCCCTTGCTAGAGTGGAGCATGAAGGGAACTAAAATTAGATTGTTTTAAAAGGCAGGAGTACAGCTGCACAATTTCCTTTCCCCACCCCATTTTAAATGGGTTTTCAGCTGGCACTTTTCCATTTGGAAAGGGCTACACGTCTTTGCTGCAGTATTTGTCGTTATTGTGACCCATCATTGTCAGTCCAAGCAAAAAAAGAAGAGTTAATTCTTAAAAACACACAAAGATCAGGATGCTCAGTCGCAGCTGCCAGATAAAGGCACTTTGGAGAATGCAAAGTCGATTTGAAAGAAATTGCTCTCAGCAAATAATATTTGGTGGCCATCTCTCCTTTTCAGTCTCAACATGCTATATTCATTATGAACCTTTTAGATGGAAAGGAAGAGTCGTTTCTAGTTTATAACTAGAATTATGCCTTCAATGGCATACAGCTCACAAGGAATGCAATTTTACAGGACAACTTTTCTGAAAATAAAGAATGGTCAATTTGAGGGGAAAAAGTGATAAGGAAAAGTAAGTTCATCTGACAAAGAAAAAGATTTGCTAATAGTTGTTTCTTAAAGTTGTCAAGTGATTTCTTTCTGTAAACATATTGCATCCACAGAACAGTTGCTCCATATGTTTAAAGTGGCCGAGATTGAAAAGGTCTGGGTTTTGGACTACAACTCCCAGACTCCTCAGCCAGCATAGCCACTGAATGCCAGAAGTTACAACAACATGACTGCTACCCACAAGCCAGTGGCTCTTCTCCATTATTGTTTCCAGCAACTACTGTAATATTTAGTGGCATATTTCATCTACTTTTTACATGGTGTTCAGCTTTTCCTTGTAGGTCCTTGGTTCCTCTTTGGTGCATCTTTTCCATCTTCACAATTATTTCTTTTTTTATTTATTTCTTTTTTTAGTCAATAAATCTTCTGAAATCAATGTGCTATGGCCTGCCCTATATGTGGCTCTTTAAAAGTGCCAGTTGTCTATGATGGTAGATACAGAAATAAATGACTGAAGAGCATATAGCTTGTGGATGCAACCCACCTAACGTAAAGAGTTCCATTGATTTCAATGGGGAAATTAAGGGCATGCATTGACATCACTGAAACGTTAGCAATCCTGCTTGTGGTAGGGCCATGGCCTTTATTGTGCAGAACATGCTTCCTCACCATCCTCAAATCAATCTATACATTACAGAGACCGTGCCATTAGGAGAGCAAATTCCTTACATGCTGAAAGCATCTGATTATCACAACAGATACTCTTCATAGTTCCTTTAACTTGCAAATTAGCTTTCTTGGTTTTGTCCTCTGTTGAAATCACATCTCTGGATCACTAATATTGGATTAGCTACAATTATAAATTGCAGCGTACAAGTTGCCAGTCAGCTGGATTCAGTCATACTGTGAGATACCTGGATATATGAACTCCTGGATAGCTCAGTGGTTTAGGCATCTGGCTGCAGAGCCAGAGGTTTGGAGTTTGATTTCCCCACTGTGCCTCCTTGACAGCGGCTGGACTTGATGATCCATAGCTCTGCAGTTCTAAGATGATGATGATTATTCTCATGGCAAAGGTTATATACAGAGATCTTTTCCACATTGCTCTAGTATAGACCCTTCAGGCTGGTTCAAGCTGAAACCGAACCTTCTAGCCGTCTTAGGGTCTCAATTTTGGCCACCCGGAGTTCCCAAAATACTCACACCTCCTGTCTCATGACACCGTTGTTCCTAGCTTTTATTTCTACATATCTTTCCCCATTTTAAATGCTGAAATATATCTGCCTGGCAGTAAGAGCTTTAAGCTAAATTATGCTTGCTATCTATCTATCTATCTATCTATCTATCTATCTATCTATCTATCTATCTATCTATCTATCTATCTATCTATCTATCTATCTATCTATCTATCTATCTATCTATCTATCTATCTATCTATCTATTTGTCTGTCTGTCTGTCCATCCGTCCATCCATCCATCCATCCATCCATCCATCCATCCATCCATCCATCCATCCATCCATCCATCCATCCATCACTTCCCATAATAACTTGATAAGGCAAAGTAATGAACTGGTATGGGCCTACAGCATGTTTATTTTCCACACAACAATTACTTCACAGGTTAACTTCAAATAACTCCTAACTCTGCCTCTCTGTCATATACATAAGGCAGTGTTCTGTCTGATTATTCTGCTCACCCAGGCCATCCTATGGGCAGAACATTTAAGGAGCTTACATGGGGTGTACCTCCTTGTACATGCAGAGCCCAGTTATACTAAAAAGGTGTGCTCTTCAGTCTCTACCTGCACTACAGAGATCACGCTGAAGCTACCAAAGAGATGGGTGCAAACTACTGGTCTGACAGTTTGGCATGGTTTGTTTCCCAGTGAACAGCTGATCTGTGGTTTGGCACCCCGGCCACTCCAGCAGGGATCCAATCCGTGGCAGTGCCCCAGCTCCTCTGAATGCTGATTCTAAGGAGGCACTCACTGGAGAAGGCAGGGCACTGAACCGCAGATCCGATGTTCAGCCGGCAAATGAACTGCACTGAACTGCTGAACCAGATATTTGTGCCTATCTCTAATTGCAACCTTTTCCTAAAATCAACCATAATTCAGCTCAATGTCCCCATTAGCTCCTCACAACAACCTTCTGAAGGGACACTACCCTGAGTAATGGTGTCTGACCAGAAGTCACAAGAAGTCCATGTCTGTGTAGGTATCTGAATCTAGCTCTCCTTTTTCTAAGGAACAAACCAGATCTGTTCAACATACAAAATCGATACAAACAATATTAAAGAAAACAAAAGGAATCCTGCAGGTTGCAGGAGGAGTAGGTTATTTCTGTAAGAAAAGGAATTAAATATGTCTTGTACAATGCCTACAGTACAATAACTCTTTGGGCACCGTACTTATTTTCTTCTGTACAAAAGGGGATATAATTCTGAAGTCTTTAAAAGACAAAAAAAAAAATCCTTTTGCTCTTTGCAAACTATAAGTGAATTGGCACTATTTGAAGCCAACAGCTGTAGGCAAACTGAATAAAACATTTGCTTCACATCATCTATTTGCACAGCTCAGAATTGTAAACGTTCTCACCTTTCCCTCCCCTCCCCCAACCCTTACGATTTTGTGTCTAGCTCCTTATATGAGTCATGGAAGCAGCGATCAACAAAAGTTTTGAGAATGTCACAAATGAAGTATGTCGAAAGGAGAATCTTGCTGAAGAACCAAGAGGAAAAATACATCGGCAAAATGATATTCTGGAAGCTTTGCAAGAGGTTAAAAGTCCCTCAGGGGGAGAAATCATAGAAAATGCAATGGAGAAACGAAAAGCTGAGAAGAACAGCAGCAAGGAAAAACAAAGTAATGATTTAGACAGGTTGAGCCTTAAACGAAAGTCAGAAAGTGATGAAAAACCTCCTGTGAGAAAAGAGCCACGCCTGCCGGAGCCAGAAAACCAGCCCATTGCAGTGTTTCTGTCTCACATCCCCTTGAAGAACCTCATAGAAGTAGAATCAAAACTGGTCTACGTGGATGAGGAAGAGGTTACCTATGAGTTTCTGGATCCACAGGAGACCACCAGTGCAGAAATAAAATGCCCGGGAGCCATAAGCATGGATTCTCCAATACCATCTGATGGGAGTGTTCTCCCACAGATGGACAAATGGCTTCACGTCTCTCTGAAGGATGCCAGTGCTTGCTATAGGCAGAAGAAATATGCTATGGCTGCAGGACAATTCAGAACAGCTCTTGAGGTAAGAGACCCAAGCTTGACAAGCAAAGTTGTTGAGTAGCTATGACCGGGGTACCACACTCATGGTGCCCACCAATTCTCCTGTCCTTGTGTACTTTTACTACACAAGGAATCCATATTCCTTTTCATGAGGGGGACTCCAGGATGGAAGGCCTTCTGAAATGAGCCCTTTGGCCAGAATTTTATTAAATGCATTAAGCCTATATACAAGCAATTATGCAAGATAGCCAACTTATGTGGTCTGCATCTGTCATGCTCCTCTGCTTCCTTGGTCAAGGAAACAGTTGTGCACATGGCCCAGTAAAATTGCCATTACCTACATGGTTTTTCCCAGTAACATTCTGTTCTTTATGTTCTTGTAGCCCTAAACTTTGACAAATGGAAGACAGAAGCCCATTTTGGGCAGTCATTCATACAGAATTAATACATGTTGAGGTCGAGAAAGAAATACAGATTTGATACTCTTTCAAAACTTTTTAAATCAGTAACTTTAGGGGGTAGTTAGAAATCTAACATCCTCTAATTCAGCCTCTTCAGAACATTTGTAATAATGATGATCCAGTTCTTCCTCTAAGGAGCTCAAGATGACCCCCTTCCTACACCTTAAAAACAGCCCTGCAAGGTATATTAGGCGGAGAAGTAATTACACTAGTTATGCTATATTAAATATGTACCACTTTGAAGCTGAGTGGTATTTATAGATGGATGTCTGTCATGGAAATCCAGCATCCAAAACCAAATACAAAATTAATTTATGAATAAATAAAGTCATTCCTTCAAATCTGTATTCCACTGAGAGACACTAATGGCAGCTCTTTATTTTACCCAGTCCCCATGAGATATGATAAGCTGAGAGGTTATGGCTTGTACAAGATCATCCAGGCAGCATCATGGCTGACTGAGGATTTTCACCTTAGTTTTCCTGGAAACAATCACACATGCTGTCTAAAGTGCTGACAACACCTTTCCAGCTTTTGTGTGTTGATTCTCCTTTCTATTATAATCTTAATTTCATTTATTGGGGGAGCGGGTGGTTGCTTGGTCCTACCTCATGCCAGGGGAACAACTACTTAAAATATGTATGTACTACTTTCCTACAGAAAGCTCTCAGTCATGCAATAAAAACTGCAGGCACCTATTTACCAAAAATTCAAACAATAGAGCTATTACTGAAAGACCAGGTTTTTCAGGGGCAACCTGCTATTGAAGCAACATCCTACTGTACCTCTTTGTTGAGTAGCTCCCCTAATAACTGGAACGCCTTGCTGGTAAAGAGAGGAAACATAAACCCCACAGTAGTAATTTCAGTATGCTGAGGTGGAAAGTGTTGATTTTTCTACCTACAACTCACAGAGTTCTCCAGTTCATATGGCCATTCTAAGAATTGTAGGAATATTTTGAACCTCTCAGAAATGGAATTTCATTCCTGACACTGGGTTTCTCTCCAGTAGCTCCCAGCTGAAGGGACCTGACTGTTTAGAAGTTCTGGGTGATCTGGGCCTTATCCATGTACCTGAGGGAATAATTCTTGCTGCTTGTTAAGATCATCAGAAGGGACACATCTTTGTATATTATCTCCTGGAAGGATGAAACTTACTATAAAAGGAACAGTGGGTTCTGCTGCCTTACTCTTGATAGGCATGCCCAATCCACAGATGTGAGGAATCCATGTTCCTTTTCATGAGGAGGACTCCAGGATGGAAGGCCTTCTGAAATGAGCCAACTGCTGCCTCTTTCGTTCCAGTCTTCCATTCATACATGGTACCATTTCTGCTTGTAGGCTTCTGGATGCATCTTGCCCTAAACCAGTAGCAGCTTATTGTAGGTTACATTCTGAAATGCTGGTATTTATGGAGAGTGGGTATTAGTATGCTAATTTGTGTGAAATCATCTGCGTTGCAAGGTTGGCAACAAGCTCCTCCTCTTTGTTTCAGGCCTGTGTCTGTGCTATCAGAAAGGTGGAAAAGGTCAAACAAGGGATTAACTAAAGCACAACAGCGGAGGAGGGGGTCACTGTTGGTCAAGTGACATCCATAGCCAAAACAAGGAAGCCTTTGTTGCTTTTCCCATTTTAAAAAAAACCCAATGGCCAGCCTTGGAGGTGAAACCAGTCTAAAACCTAACCATCACCACCACCACCATCATCTTTGAACTGGGGAGCTAGAGGGACCCTATGGGTCATCACGTCCAGCCCCTGTCAAAGAGACACAGTGGGGAATTGAAATCCTAACCACTGGCTCTGCAGCCAGATATCTAAACCACTGGTTCTTAACCTTGGGTTACTCAGGAGTTTTGGACTGCAACTCCCAGAAGCCTTCACCACCAGCTGTCCTGACTGGGGTTTCTGGGTGTGAAATCCTAACCACTGGCTCTGCAGCCAGATATCTAAACCACTGAATTATCCAGCAGTCAGTTCACTACCACTTCGGCTACTGTCCAATGACTCCATATAGAACCACAGGTTCCCAGTTCCTACCCTACTACTCTATGATATGATGAAAACTTAGAACACTGATTTAATGGACTATATATCTCAGAACTCCCCAGTCTGAGGATTCTGGACAATGCAAGCCAGCAAAATAATTTTTCCAAGTTCTGGACACCCTATTTTTCCATGTATAAGACTATACGGACACCGTATTTTTCCATGATTTTTGTTTAAAATCTTTAGACTAAAAATTGAGGGTCGTCTTATACACAGTAGTAAGATGAGGAGAGAACAAAAACAAACAGAGGGGAAAGCAGGGATCAAAGCCCTGCAGGATCACTTTGATCTCTGCTTTCCCCCCCACTTGCTAAGCCCCACTTAGATCTATATAGATTTCTTAATTTTTGGTTATAAAAGTGGGGGGTGTCATATATATGGGCGTGTCTTATACAGAGAAAAAAACAGTAAGTCAATGCCAGGACCTGTTCATACCTAGAATCGTCATCATACCTGGGTGGATTACTCAGATTCCCCCCTATACGTCAGTGCCAGCACCTGTTCATACCTAGAAACTGAGTGTCATCGTACCTGGGTGGATTACTCAGATTCCCCCCTTTAACCTTTCTTTCTCAAGTTTATGAATCTTGAAAATAAAACTTTGTCCAAAGGTCTGTCAGGGAATTCTTAGAATCCCTGAGTTTCCACAGAGGGAGAGAGAAATCACAATATCTTCTTAAGGGACCTCAATGCGTGTTGAGAATTTATTCCTTCCAGGTGCACGTTGACTGGAAGCCAAGGCGATCAGCATTTACAGGAAAGCCATCATAAGGTTCCATCTCGCGTTCTCTGGTGCTGCCAATCTGATCTAATTATATTGGAAATCCCTTCTATCATAATGTTGTAACTCCTACTGTGCTGTGGCTCATAATAATCACATAATGGGTCAGGATTTAGGCATAATCAGATTTTAGCTTCCCTGTCATGTTTCTACAATGTTGCTATAAAACTGACATAATCGCCTAAAAAGGAGGGGAACAGCACCCATTATTTAAACATGTTTATCAAGTTGATGAATGGCAGTTTGCTCTCCCCATCTCTCCTGCTAGATATAGACATAGATATGTTCCTTAACAATGAAAAATAACAGAAATTGGATTACCACTGCTGGGAACAGGGCTATGATAAACTATCTTGCTCATGTGCAGATTCAGCCTTAATGTTAGCATCATGCTCTCTTAATCATGGGCGATTGGCTTGTTAAAGCGCTAGCACTCCCCAAGCTGAAGGCCTTATCCAAAGTAGAGCTTGGGAAAGTTGACAACTTTCTGAATTTTCCACCCATTGACTCTTACCCGCTATGGTTGGGACTTTGGGTTTAAATGCCTGGTGAGGTTTTTGATACCATTGACCATGGTATTCCTCTGGACCATTTTCTCTGTGATGGGACTTGGAGGTACTGTTTTACAGTGGCTGTGGTCTTTCCTGGAAGGGAGAACTCAGAAAATGGTGCTGAGAGGCTCCTGTCCGATGCTTTGTCCTGTGGGGACCTTCAGGGTTCTGCTTTGTCCTCCTTGCTTTTTGACATGAGAGACGTCGTCTGGAGTTTTGGGGCTTGGTATGCTGATTCTGATGATACCTATCTCTATCTCTCCTTTCCGTCTAATTCCAAGAAAGCTATCTTGGTTCTAAACCAGTCCCTGATATCAGTAACGGGCTGGATAAGGGCAAACAAACTAAAACTTAATCCAGACAAGACAGAGGTCAATCAAAAGACAGATCAGATGAAGGAACAGGGATACAATCTGTACTTGATGGGGTTACACTCTCCCTGAAAACTCGGATTCGCAGTTTGGGTGTACTCCTGGATTTGTCCTTGAGCTTGATGCCCAGGTTTTGGCTGTGGCTTTCTGCAGGAGTATTTTTGCACAATTGGAACTGATCTGCCAACTGCACCCTTTTCCTGGAGATGTCTGATTTGCCTACGGTAATGCATGCCTTAATTACATTCTTGTTGGATTACTGTAATGCAATCTATGTGGGGTTGCCTTTGAAGATGCTTCGGAAATTTCAGCTGGTTCAAAATGCTGCAGCCAGACTTCTGACTAAGGCCAGTTATAGGGAGCATATAATACCCCTGCTATAAGAACTGTACTGGTTACCAATCAGTTTCTGGGCCCAATTCAAAGTGCTGGTCATTACCTATTAAAGCCCTATATGGCTTGGATCCAGGCTATGAGAAGGATTGTATCTTCCCCTTATGAGCCTTCTCAGCATTTGTGATCATCAGAAGAGGCCCTCCTCTTGATCCCATTGCCACCACAGGTACGGTTGTGGGGACAAGAGAGTGGGCTTTCTCTGTGGCAACTTGTAGGTCATGAAATGTTTTCCCTCAGGAAATCAGGCTGCTCCCCTCACCTTTTGTCCTTCTGCCCACAGCTGAAGACCCAACACTTTAGGCAGGCTTTTAACAATCCTAATCAAATCCCTGAATGCCATTTTAGCTCAGATAATCCTTAATGTTTCAATTGTATTTTAATTATTGTATAATTTAATAGGGTTTTTAAAAATGTTTA